TAAAAATTTAATAAAATTTAATAATTTATTTTAACGTTTTTAATTAAACCATTACTCCACTCGCGCTTGTTGGATATGAGATGATTATAGCCAACTCGGCGCTACGCGCCTCCTTGGCTATCTATCATCTCATATCCAATGCACACTCGTGGAATAATTGTTAATTATCATTATAATTATAACTATTGCAGTTATTACCAGGATAGTATGTGGACTCATAGCTATGTTCTTGTGTGTATAGATATGCACAAGTCAAATTGCATTGAATTTTTTTCTTCAGGAAAGTTTGAAATTAAGCAAAACAGTGGTATATGCTTTTCAGTTTTATTGGTGAAGAGTCAGCAAGTGCTGGAAAGAAGAGCGTTTTCACAAACAATCCCACATGGATAATTGATCCGATTGATGGTACAACAAACTTTGTTCACAGGTTAGTTAGAAACATGAAAATCTATCTAAGTTATCCTTTAAAATGAGGTATATCCTTTAATCAAACTCCCTAAAAAGGATGGAATGAAAAAAGGATTCTTAAATATCTATCATTTACATAAGGAATAGTTGTAGCCATTGTCTTTCAGGGTTTGCCTTTTTGCTGACATAAAACAAATATGGAATTGTTCTGTTTGATCAAATGTGATATACTTCAATCTTTTATTTGTCTGTTCAAAAATTCTGTCAAGCTTAACTTCTTGTTCCTCCAAATCATTCTATATTAAGCTAATAGACTGCCCATAATTGATTAATGACTGAGAATAACTTTTGTCTAGTATGTCTTTTAGATGAGCTTCACTTATGTTTCAGAACTTTTTCATGTAATTTTATACAAATTTCAAATTATTTTGGTGTCAAAAACAATAAATGATTAGATTATTTTTCCTCAGATATCCTATGGTGGCTATTTGTATTGGTCTGGCAATCAATAAACAGGTACATCTATTAACTCTGTGAATGTATGAAAATCATATAGCAGTATGTGTACTGCAGTTTCAAGAAATGTGTGAAAGCAATCCTTGCAGCAATTAACCCTACTTATGTAGTAGTGGAAATAAGGCCTGAAAAGAATTCAGGCTGTGTGGGATTTGAACCCATGGCCTGTGCGATACTGGTGCAGTGCTCTACCAACTGAGCTAACACGCCAACTGGAAGCTGGTCATTAATATCTTTTAGTAAGCCCTCATACGAGTACAAACCTGTTGGTCTTCTTTTGATAAATCACTAAACTACAGGGTTCAGTTGTTCTAAGAGCAGATAATACTATCTAAATGACATATTGCTATCCAGTGGATGAATGTTAGCAAAATGTACCATGCCTTCTACTGCGTAGAGGTTGATTCAGTGGATACCATTGTCCACCCTTTGAACAAGCAGGGCCAGATGAAAATGGTGAATGTGAGAACATCATGCCTTAAGGAAAGCACATCAACAGTAGAACCCTTAACTTGTTCTTAGGGTGATGTAAAAAATGATAACAGTGACACTTTTTGAACTGTATAAAATAATAATAAGCATATTTATGTACAACTTTCAGACAAGACAATTACTCCTGAGTTCAAACCATGTACTGTGTTTGACTGAATGTGTTTATAAATCTGAATGAATATTCTCTATTAGATGGAGGTTGGGATAGTATTCAATCCAATAAAAGACCAGATGTTTACTGCAAGAAGAGGCACAGGGGCATTTTGTAATGGAAAGCAAATTCATTGTTCAAGTGTAACAGGTAAACTTAATTAGTGAATGTAGCAAAGAGAGAGAGAAGATGGTTCTGTTATTTATTTTAATCAATCAGTAGGAGACACATCAGTATAATTTTGATTACCCTGGACTCTTGATCAAATGTGCGGAAGACACGGAGTCCTTTTACTTTCAGTGCATGACAACCCTGCCTGTGAACTGTCAAAGAAACCTCATGAAATGATGGGAGGTAACCTAGAGATGGACTGGTATACTATCCGGGGGGGGGGGGTGGTAATACTCCTTTTCACTCCATGCTACAGTAACTGGGATGAGCACAAGGGCAGCCTTTACCTACCTTTTGCTGCAGGTTCAAGATCAGGGGAGGTCATTGATTGTACGTATGATGCACGATCCTCGCAGTAGATAGCGCTATTTATGCAATAGCAAAAATCAGACCTGAAAAAAATCAGGCCTGTACGGGACTCGAACCACTGACCTCTGCGATACTAGTGCAGCGCTCTAGTACCTAACCACTAACCTCTCGCAGAGGTCAGTGGTTCAAGTCCCGTACAGGCCTGATTTTTTTCAGGTCTGTTTTTCGCTATTGCTTAAATAGTGCTATCTACTGCGAGGATCGTGCATCATACGTATCTAATACCGCAGTTCAAAATATATGGTCTTCATATATTCATTGTATCTCGTCATTGATTGTGTTATAATCTTAGGCAAGATAATAAGTCTTGTCCAGTAAGCTGCTCTGTTTACTTGATTCATGCAATGAAAAAGAACATTAGTATACAGCCAAAGTATGTCAGTCTCTGTGGTAGATGTTACAGCCTTATGGCTGCTATGCCTGACCCAGAATAGAATTTGGCAGGTGTATCTCCTTGACTTGTTATTTTCATGACTTGTTTGATTTGACTTATCAATCACCCGAGTCATGCGTTCAGATATTTCCTTTAGATTGTGGTTCCCTGTTTGTCTTGTCACTCCCAGGAGTGACCAGAAAGGAATTTCTCCTTGCATTATTGATACATTTTCTAGTAGACGGTTGATGAGAAGAAAGGAAATACAGTATCAACAAGGGAATACTGTTTGAGTTAGCAAAAATTCTCAAAGCTACACTAATGAGAAATGCATTCAGACAATGGAGAGCAGTGATTAGGAGCAGATGGATAATGCAACATCACTGTTCCCTGGTTAGCTTTACTGTTACAAATCTCAACTTGCATTACTTCATAGATCTAAGCAAAGCTCTCGTTATTACGGAACTGGGCTCCTCCAGGGATCCTGAAATCGTGAATGTTGTCATGTCAAATCTCAGAAGGCTTGCAGAGAAACCTATTGCAGTTCACAGGTAAAGATTGATAAATCAGACATTGATACCTTACAGTAAATCAACAATGAAATTATAATTTTTATTATAACTATCTTTATTTCACCCAGCATCAGACTTCAGGGATCAGCTGCCCTTAACATGTGCTCTGTAGCCAGTGGTGAGGCAGAGTTATATTATGAATGTGGAATTCATGTCTGGGATATTGCAGCAGCTGGAATCATTGTTGAAGAGGCTGGTGGAGTCACACTTGATCCTTCAGGTTTGTAAATATGTTGTTTGTTTACAACCTGATCTCTTGCATAAAAAGTTACCAGGTAGTAGTTATTTGTGTTTTTGTTGCTATGGAAAATACTAAAAATTGTGGCCTCTAAATTTGATGGTCTCAAAAAATCCTTAATAAAATTATATTTTTTGAATTCTTGAATTCTCAAGTTTCTTTTTTAAGATAAGACCTTGCTGTAGCATTGTTTTAAGTATTGTACTGTGGATCATATTAGCAATTGTGTAGTCCACTTTGTTTAATATTGTCTCTGAAACTGAAATAATTGAGGGGGAAAAAAAAACTCAAGGCCTTCCTGCTGAGAGAATTTACATTAACTGAATCAGGCAGGTTCCAAATTACAATGCAGCAAAGTTTATTGTTAATTTATCAGTCACACCATGATACTGTTTAGCAGGTAATCAGAAATAAATTGATAGGAGGTATTTTCTTGTGATAGGGAAGCCACTGGACTTATTGGCACGTCGTATATTAGCTGCTGGAAATAAGGAGCTTGCTGATCAAGTCTCTCAATATCTAGATTGCATTGATCTGCCCAGAGACTAACAGAATTGTTTTTTATTTTAGTACAACTTTGTTCTTTTGTAACTTAATTGTCTATATTTCATTAACTCTTGTATAGATCTTTAACTAATATTGTCAAATCATATGATTTTACACCCTCCAGCAGTTATTTTTACAATAACTGTAAGTTACAGTTTGTGCTTTTTAATGAAAAAATTCAGCTTACTGCTAAATTGTGCAATGGTTGGTCATTTATTTCTTTTTCAGCTTCTGATATTTATGAATTTTGGTATTTACAACTGAAAATATAATAAATTATGAAAAAAAGCTAATTTAATAACTAAGTTATCCAAGGTTGGATAACCTCATCTGCCAGATAAATCTTTGTCTGGGGGATTAAGCACGGGATGTTTACAATCACTTATCTACAGGATAGCAATATATCCACTGGATAACCTTATCTGCCAGATAAATCTTTATCTGGGGGATTAAGCACGGGATGTTTTATGATCACTTATCTACTGGATAGCAATATATCCACTGGATAACCTTATCTGCCAGATAAATCTTTATCTGGGGAATTAAGCACAGGATGTTTTACGATCACTTATATACTGGATAGCAATATATCCACTGGATAGCATTATCTGCCCTTTATACAACTGAATCCAGTAATTTATTTTTATGTTTTGTACGTTTACTACTCGTGGACATATTGTCACTTCCGTAATTTCCTGGAGTTGCAGAAGGTAGCTTTATAACATAACCAAAGTAAAGCGTGCGCTCTGATTGGTCAATTTAGCGTCCCCCATTTGCCCATGGGTGTACGCTGCTGACATGAGCAAATGCAAAGACTATTTTTCTGCACGCTCTTGTTTTCTCTGGTCACGTAGGATTTGTTAAATAAAAGGGAACTCTTTAACTACAATGCATCAATGTTATGTTATAAAACTAATGGTAAACACCACAGTGTACACTATTGAGTTATGGATGCACTTGGGAGGTTTGCTAAGCACTCAAGAAGCTAGAGTCGCTCTTGGCTATCACCTCGCACGACTGACTTGTGCTTCTTTCATGCTTAACAACCTCCCGCATGCATCCATAACTCAATAGTGTACGCTGTGGTGTTTACCATTTGTTATTTAATGTTGCTGTGATACTAATGCAAGTTTAGAGAACCTGTTATTTAATTTAATTTTAATTTAACATAATTTATATAGCACTAACTCCACTAATTGACCAAAGCGCTTATTACACCGACTTGTCTGCTTGATTTTGTGTTGATGTTGGAAAGAAAAATTCTGTCTTGGTCATGGGATTCAAACAATTAATACAAAAAGGAAAATGGTGTCTCAAGAGTAAGATGGTGTCAAAAGGTAAAAATTTAAGTCCACTTTATACTACTTATAATCAGTTGTATTATTTTTTTTAAGGCTATAATATTGGAAGAGTTGTTAACTTTTGATTTACTTAAATTTATGTACTTGCATACAGTGACACTTTAACTAACTCTCTAGAACAAAACAATACTTTTACAAACAATACCAAACAAATTAATAAATTAATCAAATTTCTTGCTTTTTAACTTCTGATTTGTTGCTTGTCTGCTTGTAGTAACTCCCCCACACCCCCCTTTGCATCTCTGGTTCTCCTTCTTACCCTCCCTACCCCTATCACCCTCTTTGCTTTTATTAACCCTTCTACATTTAATCAGAGGGAAAAGTTCCACAGCAGACTGAGTGTCTAAAATCAGAGGCAAGTGTTTGAAATTATATGAGAGAGTCTAGAAATTGGATGGAAACCTTTGTTACACAGGTTAAAAGTAATCATTTTCTTTTTTTGGAAACTATAAGTATTGCTGGTTTTTTTTTAATTTTTTTTTTTTTATTCAATTTTGCGATTCAAGGAAAATCCATCACTTGACTCAAATTTAATATCACACTCGCCTTGTGATTTGTGCGATATCAGTTTTTGCATGAAATTTAATGCAGAAATTATTCCCTCATCAAGTAATCAAATTTCCTGTAGAATAATATAAAGGTGTTAATAGTTTTCTTGTCATTGTGTATCAAATTTCTAGAGGGAGGTGAAACCTCTTAGACTAGTAATTGACTCACCTAGCACCACATTGTACCCTGTTCACAGAGGTTTTTTTTCAGTCTTTTCGTAATGTTTTTCTCTTTTACTGCATATTGAAAAAAACTTTTTGTTTAAATTGCTATAGATACACATTAATTTCAATAGAAACTCAGTAGGTATTGTGATTTATGAGTATTACTTTATTATTCTATTAATAACTATAATTTATAATGATTTTATTATCATATGGTAACACATTCTGAGTAATAATGAAATAAAAAATTATCACAGCTATTTTTCAAAACCATCCAGTTGTGTACTTCATGCAACTGTCAATCGCTGCAAATTTTCTAACTTGTCCAATTCTTTTTAGCAAACAGTTTGCTTGCTAACTATTTTAACATTTTCCACAGTTATTAAAATAGATAATATAACAAGATTTATGATGAAGTATAATCATAAGATGTTGTGATAATGTAATAGGATGATGTCACTTCCAATGTGAAGATTGACACAGCTGCATTCAGCAGCTCTTGTTCAGATGATGAAGGAGACTGGCTACAGATTAATTTCATTTCATTAACTAAGTTAAAATTGTAAACTGGCTACCATAAAGAGTTTAAAAAGCTCATGTTTCAAGCGTCAGCCCTTTGCCCTTCACTCTGATGAAGGGCTAATGCTCAAAACATCAGCTTTTTAACTCCTTACAGTGGCCAAATTACTCTCAATAGTAGGTCATTTTACTGAGTTCTATGATATCATAAAAGGCAAAACTTAACCTAACTAGGCTTACTATTGCACCTTGCCCAGTCCGATCTCCTTTTTTTTTTTTTTTAAATGGGCTGTTATGGTAAAGATTGGTAAGGGATGTTTTATTCCCCATGGGTTCAGAAAAATCCTCTAATCTGTAAATATTTAGAGTGGAAATATTTTCTTGGTACACCACATTTAGAAAAATAGATAATTTGAAACTTCAATTTTTAATTGAATAAATATTCATATAATTTTTTCTTTATTCTGTAGAGCCAACCCATGTTAAGTCTCATTCCAAGTCATTTTTTAAGATGTCACACACGGCTCCCAGAGTGTTGCATGACATCCCAAAAACCACTTAGAAGGAAACTTACCCAAGCATGTACTAAGGTGCCTCATCGCTTCCTTCAAAAAATGCACCTAACACGGAGAATCTCTTGTGGAAAGGTCTTTCCTTGCAAGTGTAAGCACCGGTGAACGTTTTTTGCACATCTTCATTATTCAAATCCTCATTAATTTCATAATTCAGTTCTTGGGAGTTTTCTGCTATCATATCTCGAGTTCTAAATAATTCATCAGGTATGTATGTCAGTCTTGAAGGTGAGCAACAGTGTATTGCTCCAATATCAATTGGATGAGCTTCTGTGTTAAATAAGTAACCTGCAGAGCCAGGATTGCATGAAGGTGACTGTGTGGGTCTGATTTGTTGATCCACTGAGCCATTGCTCTGATGAATGAAATTATGTTCATCAAATAAAAGATACAAATACTTGGTTGTTTCTGCTAAGAAAAAAGACTCCATCCTATCCTCTTGCTCATGTGTCTTCACATCTTTTATCTGAAAAAAAAAGTAGTATGAAACAGTATCAACAAGGAGACACCTTTGGAAAGAGTATTACCCTCAACCATTTACACATTAACATCACAGTAGGCATATTCTTCACCTCCTTTAATTTTTCCTGAAAGTAAACTAAAATCCTCAAAAATAATACCCCTAATCTATACATCAAATATGAGTAAAAACCTAAACCTTTCAAATTTAGCCCTTACCTACATTCTGTAGCACTATATAGCCATTGCACTCAATTAGTCAATCAATACACACCAATTCCTATTTAATGCAGTTAGTTATGCACTCAAACAAAAGATTTTACTGTTTTACAAGTTCAGCTTTTAACTCACTGTAGCATATCCACATGGGGTTCTAGCACTGCTTTCTATTGATTCCAGCATATCCCTCCCTACTTCAAGAAAATATGGATCCTTTGTTGCACGATATAAGTACATGGCACTCTCAATCAGCTCTAGAAGAAATGCAACAACTGCTGTTAAAAGCAAATAAATTAAACTGCTAGGTGGACAAGATCCTCTTCGAAAAAAAGCTGAGGGGTAGTATTACCCTACAAACAATGTGCATTTTTGTTTGGGTAGATTATTTTGCTTGTTTCTCGACATAATATAATTGTGTTGACAAATGTGGCTTTGACTGAATGAGGCAGTAAAAAGAAAGCTACCTGTATCAGTTCTGTATCCTTAAATGGAATGAGTAAGAAGAAATGACAAACACAACAGTTGCTTTTCAATTTTGGTACAAAACTGGTTAACTTACACACTTTTTTTAATGGTAGAAAAGAACTGTTTCATTTCTTTTGCTATCCTTGGTGCAAGAGGCTCTCTTTCTTTTTTAGCAAAACCACTAGGGGTAACAGTGAGTGACAATTTAAAGCCATAATCATTAGCATTTTTGCTTGCCAATGATCACAGCTTTGCTGCTCACTGTTAGTGGTTTTGCTGCCTAAAAAAAAGAAAACCCTCTAGCACTCAGGGTATTATTTTGCTAGATTTTTATTAGGAATAGTAGGAGCAGGAGAAAGGTGTAAAATAACAGGAAAATACATGGCTCCAAGTGTGAAAAATAGCCTTGGCCATCAGAAATGATTACCGTTTTTCTACCTGGTCTCAGAGGATATCCAGCTCTTCCAGAGTAAGGCTCTCCAGATGCAATCTGATAAAACTCAGGGATGAATCCAAAATGTCGCCAGACACTGTGGTACTTTTGAAGAGTTCTTGATGCTGCTCCGATATCACCCCATAGTGTCTATAAAAAATATTACCAGTAATTTAAAATGTTAACCCTGTCACTACCAGGATCTGAATGGTAATTCTCGTGATCAGCCATACAATTCTTATGATGGTTAGTTTTGAGAAACTAGTGATCACCTAAATAGATATTTTTCCTTCACTCTCATCTCTTGTCTGCTTGACGTTGTATTGATATTGTAAGGAAAATTTCTGTCTTGGCCACTCATGAGAGCCAAAGGACGCCTGTGCCGCCCCTACCTCTGGTAGGGTGGCTGGGTCCGAAATTCGATAACCGAAACGCACGTTTGGAATTCCTTTGAGTACCCCTCATGTCCGGATCCCTAGAAGAGCTCCAAATCATCATCACCAGGGACAGATTCTAAAAGCAATATATTTGAACTACATTTATAACGGCTGTGTAAATGCCACAGGACTATTACCATAGAAACCCGAAACCACGGATATTTCAGGTGGTGCGATTGACTTGCGTGCGAAAATGGCGGAGAAGGATGAGAGAGTACCCGATTATTCCGGCTGTTTTTGATGACTCAGGGGATGAAGAAAGCTTTGATGGGTTTGAGCGTAGACGTACCAATAATGATAGTGATAGTGATGTAGATCTTGAAGGCTTGGAGGACGACAGTGACGGCCTTGCACCTGGAGGTACCGATGACGAAGAAGAAGAAGAAGCTCGATGGACTGACCATCTCAGCGACTTCCCCATCCCGGACTTCACAGCAGCAACTGGTCTTAATTTTAACTTACCTGATATTCCTAAACCTTTAGATTACTTTGTAGAGTTTGTAGATGATAATTTATGGGATTTAATTGTCGAAGAAACCAATCGCAACGCTTGCCAAAAACTTTCAAGTTCAACCGAGCGCCTCGCAAATTTCGTTCCTGTTACGCGTGCAGAGATCAAGGCATTTATTGGAATAAACATAGTTATGGGTATCAATAGTCTCCCTCAGTTGGCGTTATATTGGTCATCTGATGACTATTTTGGAAACCAGGGCATTAAGAAGGTTATGGCCAAGAACAGATATGAAGAAATTAGTAGTTATTTGTATTTTAGTGATTCTAGTGTAGAGCCCGCTCGGGGAACACCAGGCTTTGATCGCCTTTTTAAGATTAGACCGATATTTAACTCCATTTTGGGTAATTGCCAAACTAAGTTTAAACCTACTAAGAATCTTTCTGTAGATGAGGGCATGATTGGTTTTAGGGGGAGGTTATCTTTCAGGCAATATATGCCAGCTAAACCTACTAAGTACGGAATTAAAGTTTGGATGGCGGCCGATTCTAGTAACGGGTACGATTTGAATTTTGATGTCTACTTAGGAAAAGAAGCCGACGGCCGTCGCCGTATTTATGGGTTAGGTTATGATGTAGTGACTAAGTTAATTAGACCTTTTATGAATAGAAATCATCATGTATTTTTCGATAATTTTTTCACGTCAACTAAGCTATTAGAGGATTTAAAAGCTAATGATACTTACGCCTGCGGGACTGTAAGATGTAATCGTAAAGACTTGCCACCATGTGCAAAAAATAAATTAGCCATTTTCAAAACGAGCGGCGGTCTGGGTACGATTTGCCACCATAAAGGCTCTTGGGATCGTTTGGAGGGACAGCGTGAAGGTAAACAAACGCACAGCTGACGTGTGACAAACATGGCACACTATAACTGCTGTATTCCAGGCTGCACTAATAGTTACAGAAATGCACCTAACCTTCAGTATTATAGAATTCCAAAAGACCCTCATATACGTAGAAAGTACGTGGTTCTTATGAGGAACGAGACTCTGAAATTAGATTCTACGAGTACGCGGATTTGCTCAGTTCATTTCGATGGAGGAGAAAAACTTAGCAGAACGCACTTGCCTTCAATTTTTCCATGGACAAAACCGACAGCTCAACGTAGAGAACGCAAGAGGGCCAGTTTCGAAGATGTACAGAAAATAGAGCAAACCAAAAAAAGAAAAACAGCACTTGCTCAATTACCACAGGAAGCGAACTTTAAATTTGAAGAACAGACAGAAAATATGAATGTTAATGCTGACACCAGTACCAGTGTGGAAATGCAAACGTTACTTACTGGAGACCAACTAAACAGTTTATACAACAGAATGCAAACAAGAGAACAAGAAATTGTTAAGCTTAAGGGAGAGATTCAGCAGTTGGAGAAAGAAAACAACAACATAAAAGAGGTGAACAGCAAATTACAAAAGGAAATCGAAAGCTTGAAGCATGCTTTAGATAACAATAGATTTGACATAAGCAAATTTAAAGATAAAGATGATGATATTGCATTCTACACCGGCTTTCCCGATTACAATGCTTTTATTCTTTGTTACAAAACTGTAGAACAAGCCTCTAGCAATATTAATTATGGGCACAAAAGGACCACCACGAACGGTAATGTTGGGAGACCCAGAGTACTTACTAAATTCCAGGAGTTTACCCTTGTTATGCTGCGCTTGAGGCTGGGTTTGTTTGAGAATGATCTTGCTCATCGATTTTTGGTTTCAAGATCAACTGTCTCTAAGATTGTAAATGCCTGGATTCCATTTTTGAGGAGGGAATTTGAACCTCTTATCATCATCCCCCCAAGAGAAGTACTTCAATGTTATAGGCCTGACAGTTTTAAGAAACTGTTGCCTAACGTAACAGTCATTGTCGATTGCACGGAATTTGAAATGGAGAGGCCATCTGCTCTTGATTCACAGTCTACCTGTTTTTCATCATACAAGTCAAGAACCACCATGAAATCACTGTTGGGCATAACGCCAAGCGGTGTTTTATGTTTTGTGAGTGACTTATTTCCTGGTTCAACCTCAGATAAGGAAATAACTGTTCTTAGTGGTTTTCTAGACAGACTAAATCCTGGTGACCAGGTACTGGCTGACAAAGGGTTCAATTGTCAGGATGAATTAGCTTCTGTTGGTGCAAGCCTTGTTATACCAAAATTTTTAGAACAGAAGATACAGTTTTCCACAAATGAAACAAATCACAACAAGGTGGTNCTTGCTTTTCCATCTGAATATATTTCACTTCAAGAAGACCCTTACTGTCTTCTGCAGAAGGGTCACACACTAATCCGTCTGGACTTGCTCCGAGTAACCCATGATGCTTGGAAATGAAAAAGCCACATTTTTCTACGGATATATCAGTAACCCCTTCCCCCTGCTTTAATAATTTGTAAGCAGCTATGATCCTGTCCTCCATTTCAAGTCCTTCTTGCATGTATTTACTCTGAAATGGTTTTTTGTAACCAAGGACATCTTGGATGATTTTTGTTGGTGATGTTGTTTCCCTTTGCACAGCTATTCTGTAACAATTTGTAGCAGTAATCCTGGGCTGCCTGTGATGATGCCACAAATTTGAGTTTGACTGCCCTCGTGTTTGCTCTTCTACTTTCTTTATTTTTTCTTCATCAAAATTAATGTTCCTCTTCACTTTCTCAAATCTCACTCTTAGTTCATCAGCTGATATTGGATGACATTTGATGGGTGAGATGAGTGGCTCTTCCAGATTATTTACCTTTTGAGGAAGAATATGTGTCCATCCAACAGCTCTCCCAGATTTCATTTGATATTCTTTTAAAGATTTATGGAAGTTTTGTAATCTTTCACTTGGCCAGACTTTTTTTTCTGATACACAGGTACCATTCTGTGCTGGACATGAGGCTAGCTTTGGCCTTTTTGCTTTCTTTTCTTTAGCATAATCATGTTTGACAAAGCTCATCTCAGAGATAGGTGTCACTGGACCCTTGCGTTTCCCTGGCACATTCCATTTACAAGGCTTAGATGTGCAGGACTCAGCTGCATCCGAATTTTTCCTTTTCGTCTCCTTAAAGCTTTGTTCAAGGGCAAACAATGTAGATGCCACATGGTTACAACGGCCATCAATACCAGCAGGACACTTACAGTGTGCTTTTAACACACAACCTATGGATGACATTAACAGAAAACAAGAGTATACTTTATCTTTTTTCATCGATGGCAGAACTTGGCTTTTTACATAATGTTTTCCATTTTGGTGCAGATGTCCAATGTATAAAACATGCCCTGACTTGAAGAAGTTAAATCCCTTGACTAGGGGCTTTGCAGTGGAAAGTTGTTTTTTACTTTCAACTCCTTCAATCATAAACTGCCAAACGGTTCCAAAAGCTATCTTAGGCAAATCTTTAAAATCAGGTTTGTATCCTTCTTTTGGAAAGAATTGGTTGAGCTGCGGCTCTTCCTCCTCCAGCACTCCAAGTTGAGCCTTCTTGCGGAGAAGGTGTAGTCCACCGTCTGGATCACGGAGATATTTAACGTCTAGTCCATGCTTAATGTAATCTTGAACTCTGAAAAATATGAACATGATATATGACTGGAATGAAACAAAATAAAACGACACAATTTCTCCTTCGATATAATTTAAGCTCATATGTACACCACTAAATGAAAATATACACCTCGAGTGAACCTACCTTGTTATCAATGCTTTCTTATTTCCCGTAGTCTTTGCTCCCCTGCACAGCAACCACCTTTTCAATTGAACGACGCTACATTGTTCTACAGTTTCGCGAGGAATTTTTGCACCAGGTATATCTTCTTCTGTCAGAATAACCTTGAGAGCGTCTCGCACGGTTGCATTGCTCTTGTCCACCATGTTCTTGCTGTCCCTCCAAACGATCCCAAGAGCCTCTAGGGTGGCAAATCGTACCCAGACCGCCGCTCGTTTTGAAAATGGCTAATTGCGGGTTGGGGAGAAGTTAGTTCGTCAGAAAGGCCACGTTGTTTTCACGAAGTGGCATGACAAACGGGATGTCAGTGTTATGGCAACTAATGTAAGTCCTCTAGCCGATGATGTTGAAGTTAATCGGGGTGATGTGGAAGTTCCAAAACCAGTTGTAATTGATTTGTACAATAGCTCTATGGGAGGTGTTGATCGCGCCGATCAATTACGCGAATATTATTCAGTGGGTCGTTCTTCTAGCAAGTGGTATCGGTATATATTTTGGTTTCTTATCGATGTAGCTATATGTAATGCCTTTGTTCTTTGTAATTACCGTCGGTTAAGCCAAGGGATGGGTAAGCTTAGGCAATTGAACTTTAGGACAGAGTTAGCTAAACAGTTGATTGGGGGATACTCGACTAGGGTGTCTGCGGCACAATTATCCAAGCGCCGTAAGATTGAAGCTCATTTTCTTCAGGAGGGGAGCGAAGGGAAACATTTTATTGATAAAATTAAGGGAAGAAAAAGGCAATGTGTTCAGTGTAAGAGGGTGGGTACAAAAACTCCCAAAGGTCGCCCTGTAGAAAGTACTTTTGAATGCGTGCAGTGCAGCGTAGCTCTTTGTAAGGAAGTTTGCTTCGCAGATTATCATATGTTGTAAATTTATAAACGTTTCGCTTTATCCTTCATCTCCTGAGTCTTCATTATTCAAGTGTTGATACAACCTTAAAAGAAACTCGAATAATTAAGAATAGCAGTTACCGTAATGATTAGTATTACTGGGTTTAGCCGTGTTTTGTATTTAGAAATTATTTACATTTCCGGTTTTGCCGTGTTGATTTGTTTACATTAGTCGGGCGAGGAAATTGTGATGTACGATTCTCGTAATCGGGTTTGTTTTTAGAGATTATCTGGCTTCTGTTTGACTTCATCTTATTTGGTATTTGGCCGCTAATTTTGCCACATAAAAAATACTAGAAATATTGTAAAAAATATGGTTTGCGTTCGTCGTCATCAATTACACAATTCGCTTATCATTCGCTGTGAAAATCAATTTTGGCGTTTTGCCCCGCTTCACAAATTATTTGTTCTCTTTTCTAAGTGGTTTTTACCTTATGTTTCGCTCTTATTACCCGATATTTCTTGGTAAATTAGCTGCAAATTTATCTCACTGTAAGTGCCATCAGTTGATGTTTGGTTTAGTTTAGACTTTCTCAAAGTCCGTACGAGCATAAAAAGACGACTTGGGGCAAGTCTAGGTTTAGTTTGGCGCATTTTACTTTCCTTTCCAACGGAAAACAATTTCGGGATTTTGTCGCACGGTAAAAAAAGAATTAATTTCTTACTATCAGATTGGTTTGGGACATCGAGTTGAACTCTTTTGGCCGTTTTTATTTGATAGTTTGGCCGCTGAATTATCTGACTTGAAATAAACAGTCTTGAAACCTGATCTTGTGTGTGTGTTTACTGCACATATGGTTTACTTTTAGCGCTCGCGCTGAAGTGTTAAAAAATCGCCAAGGAATTAGGGGTGGGTCGCTGGCAATTTCATTCAGGTATCAATGGGTTAAGACTACAAAATTTTGACTAACATCAAGTGCTATCAATTTACAAAGGAGATGCCTGCAATCACAATCACATGGTTGTGTTGCAATAAGTTTTGCAATCTACCAATCAATAACATCTGTCACTCACCTGAAGTCCTGGCCAATAGGCATCGAGAGACTGAAAGATTGGCATTGTAATCTGACCTTTATCCATATGGACCCACACATACCAATCACTAATCTTCAGGTACTGCTGAACTTTGTCATAAAATTCTTCGACAGAAAATAAGAATAAATAATGATAAAATAAACAACTGTGTCAAATTGAAAGTACAATGGGTGCCTGAAGTAACTTTGTATTGTAATTTTGCAATTTAAACAGAGTTGACAACAAAGAGCAACAGCATCCTCTAGTAGTTGGCAGTTTTTGCATATACAGACGCACTGGAATTCCATGTACTGACCCAAAGCAATATTTTGAAGTAAAAATTTAGAGATTACAGATTAAGTATGTTAACTATAGAGTCCATTTTGTTTATTTGGCTGATAGTCTTGAAAATTTTCAAACATTTTGAAACCCCCATCTAGAAAGAAAACAGAATAGCTATCCAGGCCCATTAAGTTACCACAACCTTCAAGAAACAGGCCCCAGGTCTGTGAATCAAACTTGGACCACATGTGCTGTGATGTTAGTGTTTAAACAAGAAATACTGTACCAGTACCCAGAGTAGTAAATTATCCTGGCTCACCTTTGAACATGTCCACCAATCTCGGAGAACTAAACAGAATACCTCCTTTAAGGAGATACTCAAAGTAAGAGTCAACACCAGCTCCAATGCCTGCATCCTGAGCTGTCCATTTCCCACTTACTACATCAATATGGTTACCCACCTGAAAATATAGAGAGAAGAAAACAAAGGAAAATAATATGCCATCATGGCTCTGTCACGACAATAAACAGTGAGGCACTAAAAACCAAGAAGGCTTTACAGTTTATTGAGGTAAGAGGAGAGAGAAGAGCAATAATCTGTTAGGAATAATAATAATAATAATAATAATAATAATAATAATAATAACTTTTATTTCTATAGCGTTCTTATCCTATGTTCAAGGCACTTTACAACACTGTGCGGGGGGACTTTACCAGACTGCCAGTGGCAGTTTACAATCAACAGATGCCCCCTCCCACCAATTCAGGAAGGGGTGTAGAGGCTTCACCCTTTGACACATGTAATTTCTCCACACAATGTCACCCCCACATCACACATTTAAGTCACAAGAATGAAGAAAATCATCACCAACTAAAGAAGTTAATCAAATTCTCCTTGTCAGCACCTCAGGAGATGTCTAAGGAACAGTATGGAGAATATGCATGCTGATGTTAGGGTGTAAAGGGTCACTTGAGACCCACCAAAAGGAATGAACTAAGGATGCTACATCATGTCATGAAAACATGGAGCACTGGGTGCTAAGTACATAGTCATGTAATTCTATTCGCAAAACAAAATGGTACACATTATAATGCAAATCAAGCATGAAAATGATGGAACAGTTTCTTCACCAGTCCAAGCTTTGATCTGCTTTTCCAGAGACCTTCTAAAGCTTTCATAGCAGTATCCATAAATCTTTGATCACCTATAGAAATGGAAATGTTGAATTAAATAAATACAATAAAGAAATACTAAAAAAGGAACTTCTTGACACCGTGTTCCTTTTACTGGTCCCATATACATTCAGGGTATTCAACAAGCATCAGAGGTCCAGGAATTCAATACAAACAATTCTCTGGAAAAGTTTTGATGGCCTCAGCTATTACCTTTTAATTGGAAATGAGGAATATTCATCAGTTAATTTAGACTGTCTTGTCTACTCTCAAGCTACATGTGCCACATTCTTTAAATGAACACCCTTTCCATAGAAAGGCAAAGAAAGAACAGAGCCAATTTGCACCCATCAAAACTCTTACACTTCCAAGATCTCATTCATTTGGTAACTCTCCTTACTATCTGCCATACAATTCTTATGATATTAGTTTGGACAATTTGGAGCTGGATCAACCAATAATCCCCTAATTGACATTTTTATTTATTCTCCTAACTTGTCTGCTTGATATTGTATTGATATTGTAAGGAGGAGTTCCGTCTTGGTCACTCATGGGAGTTAAAGGAGTAAGCTTGTTTCTCTGTTTTCAGGAGAAGGTTAATTGCAACAATCATTTCTAACTTGTAACAATATCAAGTTGACTAGAAGAGGGTAATTCCAACAGGGCCTCATCTTGCATGCTCAGAAAGCCAATCAGAACACAATCCTCATTTTACCAATCCCACTTGCAGAACAAGTCATATAGTAAAGATTATCATTACCTGTCAGGGCGCTGATTGTTCCAAACTCTACAATGAAAGTGCCACACCCTGCAGTACAGGTGATTGGTGTCTCAGACGGAGGGATTCCATAACGAAGATTCACTGTACCATATGGCATCCCAGTTGGGGTGTCAAAAGCTGAGAGTTAAAAATATACTGTACTAATTCTGCTTTTAAATCAACATAGTTTAGGTTTAAAAAGCTAACAATTGATTTCCATTTGAAGAAAAATTTTCAAATGTTATTTTTCATCTAAAATAAAATTTTGGTAAGCAGTTACAATAAGCAGTGATCGATTTTATAGAAAGGGTTAGATATGATTTTGATGATTATAACTCATAAATTTTACATGAAAGGTAGTCTGGAGACTTGCATATCAGTGTTGGAGTACAATTTGTCTTGGAAAGCTGTCAGAAAAACTGGGAGAAAGTCATAAGAGAAAAACCATCTTAAAGACATCATCAGCCTGAAGATTTTCCTGTCAGCTTTTTTATAATAATTAATTTTACCCAAAAGAGATGCTGTGGAAGATGCTACCAGAAGAAATGGAACAAATTTCCTGGGCTACTGTTTAAACTCAGACATCTTACTAGCTCTAGATGCTACACAACAGCCAGAAGGCTGAATGCCACATCACCAGCAGAGACGGTGATCATAAATGCATCAACTCTCTCTTGTAAAACTCTTATCAGGTGAACAGAGCCAAATCAGAGTACAAATTAAATCTTCCAAGATTTAGCATCAATGCTGATTTCTTGATGATCTTTCAACAAGTATTCTGCATGACCTATCTTTCTCAAATGCCTGGTTACTAAGCAAGAAGTTGAATACTACCTGGCAGCAGCCTTTCAGCTGCATCTACAGCGAGTCTTAACAGAGGACCTTGACATGGCCACCCTTCCTCTACAGTGATTCCAGCCCTTGGTGCAAGTAAGTGAGCTGACAGAAGACCTCCTACCACTAATAAAACATAAATATTACTTAAGAGTTATATGACAGCTTTGTTAACAGAAGGAGCATTATTATCCAACTACACTTCGTAGAGAACAAATAACGCCACAGACAAGTACAAATATCACGTGGTATTTGTACTCTAGAGTGCCTGTGAAACAGGTTTTCTCGCATCGCGCAAGCAAAGAATTGGATTGTAGTTACAAAAAAAAAGAAATGGTGGACAATTTGAATCATATTTCCAACGACAAAAAGTCAGAATGGCTGGCAGATATATATATCCAAGTTTATTAGATGAATCGAACGAAGAAAAACAGCAAGATGACCTGGAAATTTCTTCATTTATTGAAGAAAATAGAAACAGCAACACGACAACGTATCAATTCCGTTCCGCTTCGCATACCTCTGTCCCGCACTCCCCATAAATAAATATCTGCAAAACTCACCCACACTGAAATAACAGTTTGGCATGTTGGATAATAAATAACTTATTAGACGTTTTGTTGTGTAGTATCGCTGAGTATTTTTACGAGTTATTTATTTTGACTCGCCCTATGGGCGAGTCAAAATGTGGCAAAACTCATAAAAATACTCAGCGATACTACACAACAAAACGTCTAATAAGATATATTTATTGTTATTTATAACATAATGAACATAGTATGCACCATCTGACTGGTCAATTCAGTTTCCAAGCCGATGCTTTATCAGGTTATAGAGCCTGTGTGAAACTAGTCGTGTCATAAAAGCAAAAGAAGGCATTTTTTTCTGGATTCTATAATGTGATAAAGCCACTCAACATGTTGGGAGAACATTAGGAAAGCTTTGCTCACGTTCCCCCAACATTCCACATGGCTTTATCATGTAATAGAGCCTGGAAAAAAAAAATGTGTTCTATTTATCGCCTGAGTAGCAGTAATGAATACTCTCTCCTCATTATGAAAGAAAAAGAAGTTGTGAAAAGGGTTTAGACTTGTCTATTAATTGTGTTTGAAAACAGTTCTAATTGTAAACCATATAGAATTGTTGGTATTTGTGTCTAGTAAGTTCTCACCTCTTATGTTTGTTTCAAAGACAGAAACATTAATATCCATATCAAAATCTAAAGTAAGTTCCAGCAGATTGGTGATCCTTTGAAACTCTGATGTATTTCCAAGAACCTGAAAACATTTTAAAGAACTCAAGATGAGACAAATAAGCAAAGACTCCGTTGGTATTCATTGAGAATACATTCCGACCTACGATAAAAATCCATTTTTCATTGCATGTTAACCAAATAGACTTTTAAATTACAGTAATGGGAAGAAATGAATGAATGATAACTAAAGGTCATAATTAGAAGATTGACATTCCATTATTCAGATCAGCTACCGGCCAAAGGTCCTTGGCCAAAAGAGCTGTATCTCTTTGGAACATGTTAGACAAAGACCTGAGAAACGTTACATCTGTAAAGGCCTTTAAGAAAGTCCTGAAACTTGCCAAGAATGAATGATCGAGTGACAGTTAGAATTTAGAATTTAACAATAGCTTGTCAGATATAGTTAGCATTCATATTTGTAAATAGGTAATGAAAAACATTTTTTGGGAGTATTTATCTTTAAAGTTTAAAGTTTAAAGGTACTCATTAGAAAAATATTTATTAGGCTAAATTAGAAAAGGAAGGAATAACTGAACAAATAAAGGAAGGAACAAATGCAAAAATAATGTATAACTAACAACTTTGGAAGTTAATTGTTGGTTTTCACTGTAACACCATCATCAAAACCATTCAACAAATAAAGTCAAGAATCAAAGAGATAAAAAAGATGAAAATTTAAACAGTCTCACAAAGATCCACATCTGTGTGACGTTTTGTGCAGGAGATATTCAAAGAAATGTTTTACTCAAATTTATAAACATTGTGTGGAGACACTACATTGGTGTCCCTTTGAAGGGCACAAATATGGTGACCAGAAACTAAGAAAACAAATATTAGTTTTGCTACAAAAAACCAAGTAGGGCTCATAAAAATCTCTATTAATAAGTACTTATTCTAAAACAAGGACTGTTCAGATCATGAAATCTCAGCAGATAAGCCTTTTTTTAAATCTGTGTGGAATAATTCTCTGCCTCCATTTTAATAGTGTCATGCAAAAAGCTTACTAATAGAAAGTCTTCCTTGCTTTATCACAACACAAAAAATCCTTATGAAACTGAAAATTTGTAAAAAGATAAGTCTTCAGCTGTTCTTATAGCTAACTAAACTAAAATCTTGAAAGGATTGATAATTCTTAATTTTAATTTTGATGGTGTCATGTGAAAACCAAGAATAAACAAAGGTATAGGTGAATAGATGAAAACATGAATGGATGGGGTGAATGTGTCAGATTATATCTCATCATTTGTTAGTTTCTATGGCTCTAACAACTTTACACAACTCACCAGCAGTGTGTCCAGGGCATCTATCAAGGTTAAAGAGTAACTGATGAAATGAAAATCAAAAGTCATCTTATTTTATACACTCAGCCAAAATTTGTTGTGATTAACCTGTTCTTGTTGATAACCAACATGTCTAATCATTGGGTAAATGTTTTGAACCCTGCAATGTTATTTGATCATGTGCTCTGATTGTCCAGGTGAGAGTAGCTCTGAAAATAGTCTATGATGACTTTAACAAAGGTCGTTAAAATGTCACCTACTACTAGTGACAGCATTCATTCCACCTAGATTATCACACCACATGATTAAATATCCAATCTTCTTTTCTGCACAGTTCCCCTAAATGAGAGTTTGGTAGGATGGTAAACACCAATGAACTTTAAGACTACCAAGAATTTGCAAATAATGAGCTTGAAAAATTCAGCCATCATTTTTAAGAGGCAGAAATCATGCATTTCTCCTTTGATTCTCATGGACAAACATACTGCTAGTTCATAACTCCTACATCCACCTGTGACTTAACCATCTTAAACTCTGAAGCATTTTCTCATGCTTATCCCTTTCACTCAAATGATCTCATTAGTAATTCTCCTAAACGTCTGCCATATAATTCTTGTAATGTTACTTTGGAGAATTTTGAATTGTATCAATTTATAATCCCCTAGTCGATATTTTCCTTTATTCTCATCACTTGCCTGCTTGATATTGTATTGATATTGTAAGGAGAAATTCTGTCTTGGTCACTCATGGGAGTAAAAGGATTATTTGCTCCATGAGCAAGGATTACTGGTTGGAATTGAAAATGCACTTTTTGTAATAAACACCGTTCACATTTACTCCACGATCAAATATAAAAATTCAACCTTTCTTTTGGTATGGCATGATAAAGATGTTTGCACTTTGTCATGACTTTAGATTAATTCATGAATAACAAACACAAATGATGAACACAGATGGTAGTCTGAATAAATATGAACTCAAAGCTGAATAAAAAAGGTAAAAAAATCAGGCTAATATTGTCTTGGTTTAATTCATGAATACAAACACAACTGATCAACACAGATGGTAGTCTGAAAAAATATGAACCCCACACTGAATAAGCAAGTGGTGAAAAATCACACTAAAATTTACTTATGAAGAGAGTATATAGCAAGGGAAACTTCACAACAATTCTTAGACTAGTTATTGAGTATACTTTGAGGCTTTTTCATAATCAAGTTTCCTCCTTTTTGCATGCTGAATTGCCTTCTCAGTCCCTAACAAAAAGTAGTCTTAGTAGGGCTATAATTCAAAGGAATATCATACTTTTCTGTAACATTTCGTTTCAAAGTACCCTTTCCCTTGATAACTAGTTCTCCAACTTGCACAAAAAGAGTGTAAAACCAAACAGAAAAATTAATGAGGGCTAAGAAGGAAAATGAATAACCAACACTTTCTCCTAGTTCAACCTTAAAACTGAATATATCATTTATGTTCCTTGGACCTTGAGCCATGCAGCTACCCAATTTTTATATTTTTAATTCTGTGCTAGATAATAGAACTAGCACTTTTAACTTCCCAAATCCAGTTAGCAAATCTCCTCACTGATCACTTTACAATTCCTCATAAATGAGAGGGGAGAGTTTGGTGATAGATCACAATGACATACTCTGTTTAACAAGCTTGTCTGTTCTCCTAAACTATTTGCAAGATAACATATTGGAATCAAAGGGAGAAATTACATGTTCATCACCCCTGGGAGTTAGGAGATTAAGACAATTACAAAATATCAAAATTGGGCTTTTACTGAAATTTGATTGTAGCTTCTTTACATTGGGTAAGTGGAGTTACTGTTACAGTAGCCTTACCTTCCCCATGTATCCTGACCACTGCATGACAAAGGCTTTAATTCATCATAAGGATAAGCATGTCTCAGATAACTGTCATATCCATGGTAAAACATAGATTTTGTCTTTAACCTGAAAGAATAAAGAGTTCACCTTAATCATTATTTCCAAAATTTTCATGATCAACTGCACTGCTCCAGAGAACAGTACTTTTTAAGGTAAATGTTTGTATGTGGTCAGAAGAATAACATGCTAACCGAATAACTCAAGAAATTTGTTACACATGCTGATAAGGCTTTGCATTTGCTTCTGAGACACTGAAATTAGTTTCAGGCTTGGTTTACCTGATTCAATGAATTATTTCTGCAACATGACGCGCATCTTGGAAACAGCTACATGTTCACTTCTCGATTTACGGTCCATCGTGATGTTTAGAATGAGGGGCAACTCGTGCCTGTATGACTCACTTATGGCAATTTGCCCAAGCAGTTCACACAATTTCCTGCATTTGTCGCACGTACGGAGATATACATCACTTCCTGCAGAATACTGCGGGCTTTTCTCGGGCGATTTAAGAAGATGAATACAGTAAAAATATGAAAAACTAATAAAATAAAGCAGCCCCAGAAATAGTTCACAAAATACCGCAGCTTTTGCGCACCTTTCGTAATTTCAGCAAGACGCACTGAAAACAGCTGGAAACACACATTACTATTTAGCCAGATTTGATTTACAAACTCACCTATACTGTTCTATCTCCTGCTTTGTCATACATTCTCCCCAAATCATCAGAAGGAAGAGCAAAAATAACGAAGTAACCATTTTTCGAAACATTTTTGTCAACTACGTGTAATTCCAAGATTGTCTGTCGCGTGCTAGACAGTCTGTGATTATAATGACAAATTAATATAAACAGCGAGGTCTGGTAAATAATGGACTTCTTCAGGCCTCATTGACCTAGTTCTAATGGCAGTGTTTCGTGAAGTAGTAGTGATCATAGTCTCACTAACTTTTACTAAAGGCACCAAGAGAAAAATAAACTTCGATGAATGAACGCCAGTTATATGATAAAACGTAATCTCAGAGGGGACACCGCTAGTCGTGGTCTTTCTTACCCTGCGGGCGACTACGGGCATGACTTTCCTCTCTCCTCTCTCCTCGGTTCTCCTCCGGTTCTCCTCGACTCTCTCCTCTCCTCTCCTCTCAGCTGTGTCTACATTGTCAGCGGTTTCCCATAATGGCAGCCAATGGCGGCAGAGTTTGAAAATTTTCCTGACACAAATTGGAATTTTGTGCAGAAGTGTCCCAAAATGTCAATGCCTGATGTACACAACTGCCTATATGTAAGCCTTTAAGACTGAATTTCAAATTTTGAATTTATTCTTTCTCTTTGTTCAAATATCTTAGACATATGGTCATTTTCTCAGCTGTCTTCTGAAAATGAGCGCATTAGAAAGAAATATAAGAAACTTGCAAGAAGAAATGGAGTGTTAGAGAGGGAGTTGAACGACCTTAAAGAACAGTTTACAACCCAAAGATTTATGCAAACTCATTCAAGAAGGTAAATTGTTGGTCCAGTTCTATCTGTATCTCTATGAATCCGTTCATTGAGTAATATGCTTTATTTTGAATTAATCTGACGTCTTTTGCCAAGATAATTTTATCTGTCCTACCGCAGTGGTTTGAACCTTAATCTGCGTGCAAAACTGTGGGTCGCTGATGGTATCCTCCGTGGGCTTACAAGAAAACCTGCTTTTAAGCAAAGATAAAAGTGTTTCTGGCAACAGGGAACAGGACAATATTAACTCGTCTTACTCAAGGACATCATTAAATTGCTTGAATGTGGCAAAAACAAATTCAGTTACGCAAACTTAAGTTCAGTAGTGTTAGTTCTCCAGCTATATTCTGATGGCCTGATTTTTTTTTGCTCAGATGTCAAGAAGTTTCTCTTGTTACTTGAAATTATAATTATTCTACTGCATCAAACTTCTTATAATTGAGAACCTTGTTGAAGAGATTGTTCATTTGCCTTCTTCTCCTTCTATATACAGTGTTCAAGTTCAGACTGAAGAAAAAAGAAAAACACCTGCTGGTGGATCAGCAGTAAAGCTGAACCAAAATGATAGACAAAAGAAACCAGTGCAAGTTGAACAGTTTGAAAGTACAACCAAGTTAGTTGTGACTTCATCTTTCAGTTTTGACAAGGCACAATTTTTTAATTAGAGTTTGTAATTTTGAAACTTAGGACAGAATGTTAAAACAGCATTGCAAGCTGTGACCGTAGCAGTTGTCACATGAAGTAGAAAGAAATTTGTGCTGACGAAATTTCTAGAAAAAGTGGCCTCTGTGCTTTGCAATCATGTAGCAAGCTGCTGTTCTTCTTATATTACTTTTTGTTAACAGTGGTAAGTTAAGTGAAATTTTACATTTGGTATTGTTTTCAACACCATTGCAATAGTCTCTTCTCTTCTCTTGTATAGGAATGTTGTTTGAGTAGAGAGCACTGGAAAGTCCCTTAGCCTCTGAAAACCTTTTTTTCATTCTGGCAACAATTTTTTGACTTTGGATTGCCAAATGGCAAAAAAATGAGCTCCTTGGTCTGTTATGCAGACAAGTTTGGCAGAACAGATTTTATTCTATTTGACCCATGGACAAAATATGCTGGAGACTTAGAGTAAGCCAAAATGTTTCCTGTTTAAAGAATGAGGGACCCGTTGGTACATGGCTCAATTCTCTGCTTGATTTTCCTGCTCTCATCAAGAATTTTTGTCTGACAAAATATTATGTGTCTCAGATGTAGTCTTTTGCTTAATTAGGGTGTTGTCAATGCACAACAATCTTATGAAAAGATATCAGAAGGAACTAAAGACTAACACAGCCCATGTGGAACAAATTGCTACTTTGAGTGTGAGTATAACTTGTTCATTGTGGTGGATGAAATATTAGAAGTTGACTGTTCAATTGCTAATCTCAGTTAGAAAACAGAGATCTGGAAAAGAAACTCCAAGATTCCCAAAGAAAAATAGACGAATTGCACAAAGAGAATGAAGCTCTTCAGGCCAGAATTAATGCTGTGGGGATTAAGGAACGACTAACACCCTCTAAGAGAGGTACAAGCTATATGCATTTATTCTCCCTTTAGCATGAATGTGATCTTGATTATATTTTGTTTGTTTCAATCAGATTTAATGGCTGATCTCCGTAAAGTTTCACAAGAGAGAGATAGAATTGCTAAGGAGAGAAAAAAGTTTAAAGGTTGGAGATTCATTGAGATTCCAACTTTCTTGACACTTCTTTGAATTAACTCTTGAACTCTCGGGAGTAACTGACATGTTATGTCTCCCTATACAATATCCATGTCATCCAACGTAAAGGATTTGAGAATACTCAAACTTATCAGGTTGAAGGTCTCTTGATCTAACACCAAATTTTTGCAACTTATTTACAAGGAAATGAGCAACAGCTAGAGGAGAGAATAAGCAATAATATCTTGGGAGCAATAGGGTTAGCCAATTGACAATGGTTGCCAAGCATGCAGTCTTAACCTCAACAGAAAAAATGTGCTGGGAAATAAAATTGGACCAGCCCTATGTTTGTTTCATTTCACAAGTGAATAAATCTAGAGAACTTTTCATCAGGAAATCATTTAACCTATCAAAACAAAATTTCAAATTGGAGAAAAATGAACAGCAAAGATTTGTGACACTTCAAATAAATTTTCTGTCAGTATTACTTTCATGTAAAAGCCAGATGATGTCTAGGTTCACAACTACACTTGTCTATCGTCAACTAGGTAGTGTTTCTGTCCTCTACCTTATTAAGCTTATGGAATTAGTGTATTTATTGGTGAACCATGCTTGTATCAGATGATACAATTGAATACACATTTTTTCCCCACATAATTATGTATTTGCACCTGGGGGTCAACACATCACATATTTTGGTCTTACCAGATGAACTCAAGATGTTGGATCGGGTAAGTGAAATACTTAAAGTTTCATAATATGTCAAGCAATTTTTTTCTAATCTCTTGTAAGGGAAGCAGAAAACCCTTTGGAAAAAAAAAACAAGGGAGGGTGTAGCCTTCTACTATTATGCATCCAAGATTTTGCATATGCTATCATAGCATAAAATTCCATCTTGTAGTCTTTTCACATATATCTCATTTTATCAGGATTGTGCTTTGTAAAATATTATGTTGCAGGATTCTTTTTGATTAACTCCTTTGCATAATACCTCAGGGGACACAATTCTGAAAGTGTTTGTTTGTGCCAACAAACTACATCAAGAACATTTTTGGGAAATTTAAGAAGGGGTATGTTCTTCACTACTATACAATCATTCCCCCACATTCTAAATTTCTCGGCAACCTTCCCTGTATATCAATAATAGATCATTGGAAGAATTTATTAGTAATTCCTATGTTTACCTCCTGTTTGGAGGACTGGGATATCTTTTTCCAAGGTATCTCTTTGTCACTGAGTAAAAAGCACCATTTTTTGTATTCTTCATGATCTTCTTCAGGGATTCTTTGAGGAAGTAGAAGATTTAAAATATGCCCTTCAACAAGCAGCAAGACTGAACAGTGCCTATGAAAAAGCTCTCAGGCAGCTTTGCTCCCAGTATGGACTTTCCTTCCCTAAAGTAACAACACCAACACAACGCCGCAGGAAACGCACAAGGTCACAAGCAAGAGAATTTACAAGTCAGTAGTATTCTACTAAATGATTCAACCCCTGATCTTAACCCTTCACTCTAAACATCTGATTCACTTGTTAATTCTCCCCTCTGCTAGCTAATACACATTTCCTGGTATTTTGTAATGAGAATTTGGTGTTAGATCAAGATAACAATGTCTACCTGATAAGTTTGAGTTTTCTCATTACCTTTTTCCTAGATTATGTTTGATATTATAGGGAGAAGTAACATGTCAGTCAACCTCCTGGAGTTACAGACACTTTCATAAATGGCTGCCGGATTAATATTCTTTTGTTTAAATTTAAATTAGCCCTTCTGGCCTTGCTTGAGATAATGTATTCTTTTAAATTTTGTACTGGAGAACGAGGCCAGGAGGGCTAATTTAAACAAAAGAATATTAATCCGGCAGCCATTTATGAAAGTGGTCTAAAGGGTTAAAGAAAAGGACCCTGACAAAATTATTCTTAATGATAGATTATAAATAAGGTTAAAAAAATTAATAGTATTTAGGAGAAAAAATTGTACCTGCTGCACATTGGTAGCTTAAAATTGCTGGAAATTAAATTGTGTCAGACAATGTAAGACATTTATAACCTGTTTGTAATTTACAGTACTGTCCTATATTTCTACAAACATTCCAGCCCTAATATATTAACAGCCAGTTCAATATCAGCTAACAACCACCAAAAAATGGAAAGTTATCATTCATGGTTAAATAAAGAATCAGCTTAGTTAGAATTGCTTATTTGTGTGTGTGTGTGTGTGTGTATTGATCATTATCATTTTTGAACAAATGTAACTTAAAGGCAGATCTAAAGGATACTCAAGACTTTTACATCGTGTTTCAACCTACAGCCTGTCATTCTCAAATATTGCTTGTCAATTAAATACACTCAGTGTGAAACCAGAACATGTGTTCTTGTGGCATAGTGTTCAAGCCTAGAAATATATGCGAGAAATTTGTCTGAGGTTGTCTTAAATTTAAAGAAACCATCGGAACTTTGAAGATCAATCACTTTGCTGTAAATTCATGTATTAAATAAGTCCAGCTTTAAAGGACGGAATAAAAATTGATGTCAAAATTTGTAGCTTAAAGTTCAAGGTTCACTGTTTCATTCTTAGTCAATTGTCTCTATCCTAGAAACTATTCATTCTTTTTGTGATAAATCTAAGAGCAATTTTCAGCCTTTGTTTTACTTTACCTGACTATGAGTGACCATGACAGAATTTCCCTTTACAATATCAACACAATATCAAGCACACAAAGAGATGAGAATAAAGAAAAAAATTAATATGAACAAGGGGATCATCAGTTGATCCAATTCAAAATTCTCCAAAGTAACATCACAAGAATTGCATGGCAGACAGCAAGGACAATTACTAACAAGATATTGGGAGTGAAAGAATGAACTCAGTGATTGTTATCAGGCTGTTATCAGATGCAAGCCAAAACCTGCCAATTATGACTTGGTTCTTACCCTTCACACAGTCAACATGTCTTACTCTAAGTCCTTGACAGTCTTAGTTACATGTTCTATTTGGCCTTTGTGTTAACTTTGATTTTCACATTGTTTTTCAACAAACAGCTGAAGAGCACTCACCTTCTTACTTATTTAGTGTCTATACACCTGTCCCTGGTTTACTTCTATTTTAGAGATTTCCACAACATAGAGAAAATTAACCCTTTCACTTCTAAGATCTCATTAGCAATTCTCCTTACTGTCTGCTATACAATTCTTATGATGTTAGTTTGGAGAATTTGGTATTGGATCAGCCACTAATTCCCTCATTGACATTTTTCCTTCTTCTCATCACTTGTCTGCTTGATATTGTATTGATAAGGTGAGGAGAAATTCTGTCTTGGTCACTCATGGAAGTTCAAGGGTTAAATGATATATAATAAGCTAAAAGAGGACAGGCACATACTGGATGACATCACCATCAAAAACATTATTTTGGTTTTTATCATAAGGAACAAATAGATTCTGTATTGCCATGGGTCTGTCCAGTAGAGAGTTTGAGAAAACCACGACGGCAAAGGCAACAAGAACATCACTAAACAAAAAGGTTTAATGAGCAGAACAATGGTTGTGCACATGTGTTGTACATCTTTGTAAATTTCTTTGTGTCCTCTGCAAAACAACAATGTGAAATGACCAAACTTTGCATTGTTTAGAGAATGTGAACAACAATAGCCAATTTTTTAAAAATTTTTCTTTCTAATTTAATGATGTGTTCCATATTCAGTTTTGAGATAGTTTTAACAGTGAGAAACAAACTAAGTGGCTTTAGAGTAACGCAAGGTTCCTAGGTAAAATATATGTTCATTTTTTTACCAATGTTGTCCACAGTGTTGCCGTGGTCATTTCTTAAACTCCCCAACAATAGATCAGATGACAATAAGATAAGGTAAGAATATCAGTGACACACTTGGCTGCACCTTGCGTTAACACATTTGAGGTCATCTGTTATCCATTACTGAATGGGGCCCAGTTGTTCAAAGAGGGGATAACACTATGCAACAGATAGATCGGTATCCAGCAGATAAGTGTTATCAAAGCATACTTTACTATCCATAGGATAGAGATTTATCTGGTACATAGCGTTTTCCACCCTTCGAACAACCAGGGCCAGATGCACAGGAACATGGAATCTATGGTTACCATAATAATCCTTGTTGCAATTATAGTGACTTTAAATTTTATTGTGTAGTCTGTTCATCTGGGTGAGAATAGCCTTGAGACAGGCTGTTGTTGGTTGTATTTATTAGGGACCTTAAGGAGGACATGGGAAAACAAAAGATCTAATGGCCACAACAATAGCAAGCATGTGCTTTTTAAAAACTTTGTAAATTTCTTAGCCATACTCTGCAAAACAACAATGTGAAATCTCCAAAATTTGCTTCATCTGCAAATGAAAACCATGACTCACAGCAAATTAATATTTAATTTCCTTTGGGAACTCAATGTTGCTTATCTACGTTATGCTGAAGTTGAGGTGTCGCGCAGAGAGAGGTGGTACATACAAGCAGTCATTGTCAAAATTCTAACTAAAAATAGAATTTCATTTTTTTTAATCAATGTCCTCCTTGGCATTGCCGTCCTGACCACTCAAGGTCCCTACTAACATTTTAATAACCTTACAGGAGCTGTCATAAGAGTTGACTCTTCCTTCTTGTCCCAGAAGTTCTAGTCCTTCTGAGGACTACTCGTTACACTCACCTGGATGATCACAGTGCACAATCTGAATCAAATGGTACTCTAAGATTTTAAAAATATTGTGAGGTACACCGTCCTGTAGGTCTCCGAGAGTCCATATTAATGCCTTGATTGAAAAAAATATTGGGTGATGAGGGCACCATTGAAAGTTAGAACTTGTAAAAGAAAACCATCATTTAAGTTATCATCTGTCTTGAACTGATTGAGCCAGAACTTGCTGTAGAATTGCATCTTCATCATTGTTAAAATCCTGTGAGATGAGAATGATTTGAAATTTACATCATTCACTTGAGTACTCAAACTGCAGACCTCAATAAAATTGATGTGGGGTTCAAGATTTTTGTTCCATCTTAAGAATGTCCATGAGAGCTTTTAGAATTACATGGGAACTCTGTTAATATGGTCACCAATGCGCCAAAAATGGGTGTATTAATGGCCGTATTGCCTTGGCACTTCCTGAGCAAGTGTGAGCAAGTGTTTTCTTCAATAAACAAACAGAACATAGATATATGTATGGTAACTGTAAAAAATACTTAGAACTTCCCTCAATACACAAAACACTTTTGAACAGTGGCAAAGAGAGGCACAGGAATTCTCAGAAAAATTAACTTCCAAGTCCTACATGATCATAATACTTTTTTTCATCCAAAACTGACTCACCACATATGTATCATATTCAAACTTGTGTCGCAAATTAAGATGTTGAATGAAATCACCACTCTTCTGAATGGGATTCCCCCATGGCATGCTGGCACAGATTGGACAAACCTGAAAAATAACAAAATGATCTTATTTTTAAGTATATATTAATTTTGTTACACGGCACAACCCTACCATGTTTCATACTCACTGATAAACCCTCTCACCCCCACTTCCTCGCACATACCAACCGCAAAAGCTGCTCCCTGTTAAGACTCCATTTTGCAACCAAATGCAATTTCAGTTATTTCGGAGCACTTTTCAATTGAGTTTTGTAAAACCAAAACCAAAGTAATGGCAACAGCCAGTCTGTAGAAAGGAAAATATAACCAAAAGCCAACAAAAACTCATGGTTAAAACAAGCAAACTACCTAAGGTGCAGGTAAACACCATGACCAAGTTACAATTGGTTTTAGTTTGAGTCTTCTTGGTGAGGAATGCGGCACCTCATTCCCCTTTTTTTCCTTTAAGTAAACTATTTGAATTATCAACTTACCACAGATTGCCTCTCATTCTTGTGACGACTGTTCACATGCTGTAGCATTCCTTTACTGTCCAAGTTACTTTGTAGGCAATAGGGACAACTGAATGTTGATCGATTTTTTAGCCTAGAAAGCAAAATTAATAACCGATACTGCATGAAACACGAAGCGATCAGCGTAATATTGGTTTTCAAGTGCAATTTAATGGGAAGCTCACGGGTCAGGAAATGGATTTTCCTTGAATAACATCATTGAATAAAAAGAAGAAAAAAAGAAGACAGCCATATTATTGTTTGTTTTTATCCTGAGCATGAAACAAAAGATGCCAAATAATATCACTTAGCCTAGCTTGTTTCCAACTCGCAATTCCATGTTAACTACCTTGTTTCATTAACCAATCATAATGAGAGATTTTATTCAATTATGTGATTCTAAAAGAAATCACTTAATCTAGCTGCATAGTAACCCTGCCGGATACCCCAAAGCTCTGTTCACACAATCAGAAATGCAACAATATCGTTGTATGTAAAATAAAACTTACTCTGGCCTTGGTTGTGAGGTAGGAGCAACTGGAGAAAAAGATAAAGGAGAAACAGTCTCACAAGATGATCTGTGCTCTCTCAATCTAGACATAGGAAACTGTGGTAAAGAATGACAAAAAAGTGAGCTATTACTTAACATCTATTCATTGTTGTTGCGATGAATAATTCAGTTTCATCAGTTCTGTTTTGTGATTTTCCAGCAGAGGGCAGGTAGAATGTCACTGCCACCAAAAACTGTGTGTTAATTTATAGCTCCAGATTATATAGATCACACTTCATGGTTGCTCATAAATATCAGGTTTGAAATCCATTTAGATTCCATGGAGAGGGTGATTCAAGAGCACAAAAAATACCTAGAGGATCATAAGTGTGATGGTCAAATAACACTATTTATTACATGACTCAGGCAGTCAGAGGGCCAATAACTAAAATCAACCAATCAAAATGCTCTATTGCAGGTCAATATTCTCTAAGTATTGGACTGGGCACTGTCCCGAATGGTCCCAAATGATACTGCACTTGTGTCCCTTTGAACTTCAGTCGTATAATAAATCTCTTATTAACCAAGCTTGCTCGGGACCGTACTGGAAGAATATCGGCCCTCTGTCCGTACTGTCAAGACCTCGGGCCGATATTCTCCCAGTACGGCCCTCGCGCTTGGTTAATAAGATATATACATTTGACATATGACATCACATCCTCCTGTACTGCCTGTGATCTATTGAAGTACTAATGGGGAATGGTTAATTTTGGTTGCAATTTTATCCTTACAAATCAATGGTCTTACTTTCCTACAGGAATGAAATTTAAATTCCCATTTACTAAAGCCCAAAAACTCCAGGCTGATCACATTGATGCAGAGAGACAATGGTTTGTTGATCCTGACTGAGTCCTTCCCTGAGAAGAACCATTTGAAGCACTTTTATTCAGAACTGTGTTTAAATAAAACTCCCTGATTCTTGTGAAGGAGGACACGACTGTGGATAGTTTCAGGAGCCAGGAGAGAAGTAGTGAGGAAGGATACACCCCACCTTTTTTTCCCCCACTTAAAACACTATGCTCACTTCCCTTGGTCCCCACATCCCACAGAAAAAGAGGAGAAGTTACTACCTGTCTGTTACAACCAGAACAGGTTCCCATGCTGTGACGGATCTGCCGTTCAATGTCTCGTGCTCTCCTTTTCATATTCAAGTTGAAATCATCCCGACAAACAGGACATGTAGATGATCCAGAATGATTTTCAACAGAGCTCAAGCAATCATTGCAGAAACTGAAATGATCAGAAAAGTTAAATCCTCATAAAGGATCATTGGTCATGTTGTAAAACTGTACAGTGTATAATATTTATTCAACAGTTCATGTCAAAATTACTAAATCTGTAAGTAAAAATCATAAAATATGTTGGTACCCTGTATAGATAGGTGGGAGACATTGTGCCTTAATTGGCACACTAGGCTTTAGGTTCAACGTTTGTTTAGATCACTCTGTTGTAATCTTGGGCAAGACACTTCCTTCTTCAGGGCTCTCCCGCTATGATGGCAAAAATTGGCTAATCACAAGGACACCAAAATGAGTTCACCCCCATAACCTTCAGAGGTTTTTGCAGCTGAGAAAAGAAGGATTTTAACAATTTTTGTTTGAAATAGAACGTTACAATTAGAAATTTTGGATTTCTTGCCCAGAACACGATATACTGTAGATCAAAACAGAAATGGAATTTATAGAAAATTACTTTTGGCAGAGAATTTCATTTTCAGTCAATGTTTTGAAAATGATGGTCTCTGACAACCCCTTTATTGCACCATTATAGTGACAGTTGCTCTGTAATAGTTATGGAGTTTTAGAAAATAGGAAGTCTGGAAAAGGATAGTTCTCATCCAGTAAACAAGGTAACTTTGACAACCCGGCTCTGGCAGCTTTCACAACTTCCGGTTTGAATAAGGCTCGTACATTCGATTGCATTTGTCTCAAAACTTAGGGAGCAAAATCGTCAAATCTAAGTCCCAGACGCTTAAGTGGAATACACGCAAACTAAAAAAATTAAAAGATACTTCCGTCAAGAGCAAATTAGGCCATTAAAAAGCACACTTCGTTTTCACTACAATTTAATTTCACTTACGTGTGTCCGCATGGAATAGAGATGGGATTTTCGAAAATTTCTAAACAGACAGGACACTGTAAGAGTTTTTCCGTATCCTGTGGTTTTTCATAATATCCTCCAGTAGCCATTGTCTTCTCAGAGACTCAAAATCTGGTTGTTATCAGTAATATTTTCTTCTGCAAACTCATCCAACTGTTTCCGCTTTGCAGAGAATTAGAAACAGGATCTAAACTGACCCGATGCTTGAGTTCAGCGGACACAATCAAAACAATTGGTACTTCGCGTAATTTAAGACTTTCAAAATGGCGGATACCATGCTTTCTTCTTTCGAACGAACTTTCATCGTGGATGGAGTTGAGCAAGATTTCCGATCCGATGGAAGGTCTTGTCACGATTATAGACATTTTGAGGTGGAAACTGGGATCGTGTCAAACACTAGCGGATCTGCACGACTTCGTTTGGTATGATATAAAACAAGAAATTTGGAATACAGTTGCAATTGGAAATTTTTGAGTGTCATAAGTTCACCTGGTTTTTTTTTTCGTGGTTATGTTCTAGGCTACTTGATCACAATGGATTTTTCTCGGTTACTTCACGCCGTATTTTTCGCATAACAGATAGTTATGTTTATCAATCTAAACGCGTAATTGGGATCCGAGAGATGTGGGAGGCTTAAGTTTGTTTCTTTTTAAATAGTCCTCTTTGATTGTTTAGGACTTCATATATTCATCGTATCTGATTTGTAACGGCCTGCTCCCAGTTGGCTTGTTAGCTCAATTGGTAAAGCGCTGCACTAGTATCGCAGAGGTCAGTGGTTCGAATCCCATACAGGCCTGATTTTTTTCAGGTCTGATTTTTGCTATTGCATAAATAGCGCTCTCTACTGCAAGGATCGTGCATCATACGTATCTATAACCGCAGTTCAAAATATTTAAACTTCATATATTCATCGTATCTGATTATCAATACAATATGGCAAAATAAATTCATCAACAAAATGGCAAAGTAAATTATCCTTATAAGAACAATTATGTTAAATTAATATACATGGTTTCAGTAATCAGGGGCATAGCATCCACATATGCACGTACACCCATGTGAACAGTTGAAATCTGGACAAAAAATTTTTTTCCCGGCCTTATAGCATTTGTCACAGGTACCTTAAATAGGACCAATTTTAAAATTTCAACTTATATTGATGTGTAAGTTTGTTTTTCCAGTACCTTTTCTACCCCCTTTTTCGTTGTAGGGTACCAAAAACTCTAGAGATGGGTAAAATAAACAACTAACTACTGCCTTTTCTGTTGCATTTATTTATAGAAAAGTTCCATGGGAATAGTTGGAAATGGCATTTCCAAGACCCCAAATCTCAAAATTTTCTGGAGGAGCATCCCCCCTGACCCCCCCTCTAGTTTGGGGCACCTTTGGTGCTCTCAATTTCCACACTGTGCATAAACCATCAAAATCTCACACTATGCCACCAGTAATTGGCACAATTTAATTTTATTTCTTACCATTTCTTTTTTATTCATAGTCTCGAACAGACGTCTTGGTTGGAATAAAAGCAGAAGTAGGAGAACCACATCTGGAGAAACCAAACTATGGATACATTGAATTCTTTGTTGACTGGTAAGAAATTTGATTATTGTTTGTTGTCTAAGGTGTTGCATTCTCTTTCAAGTAATTTTTTGTTTTGCTATTCTGCTAAATGTTTTACAGATAATTATACTCACAGAAATTTTTGAACAGATGCAGTGTCATCTTCAAAACATTCTTACTCCAACCTGTAATTCGTAATGCCAAAATTTTTATCATATTTGGGGAAGAGAGATTGGATTTTAATCTGTTACTAACATGTGCAAGAGTTAATCACTCTTTTGTTGTGTTGTTTAATGTTTTTTTTTTTTTCAGCTCTGCAAATGCTTCTCCTGAATTTGAAGGTCGGGGAGGAGATGAACTGGGAGCAATGTTGGCAAAGACTTTAGAGAATGCTTACAATCATAAGTCTGCCATTGATCTAGAGTCATTGTGCATCCTGCCTGGAAAGCAGTGCTGGGTGTTATATATTGATGCTCTGGTATGATAAAGTTTTTTTTTTGTCAATTTTCTGTAACGTTCTGTGTGGGGCTTGATGTATCTGCCATTTACACAAGTTGGTGTTTGCTAATCTTAGAAAGATTGATTTTGAGAGTGAAGAGTTATATAACTAAAGAAGCAATTTTAAAAAGGCTGAAGATGTGTTGAATATTGACTCTTTGTCTGATCATTGTGTTGTGATGAGATCCTAACACTTAACCCTTTTACTTCCACAAGTGACCAAGACAGAATTTCGCCTTACTATATCAATACAATATCAATCAGACAAGTGATGAGAATAAAGAAAAATATCAATTAGGAGATTATCAGCTGATCCAATGACAAATTCTCCAAACTAACATCATAAAAATTGTATAGCAGACAGTAAGGAGAATTGCTAATGAAATCATGGGAGTGAAAGGGTAAAAAAAATATTTTCAGAATTTCAGAATTCTCCATTGTGTTTTATACTTTTGCTTCACTTGCTTGTCACTGTTAGTAACAAAACAGTTTGTTTGGAAATTAATAACCTGCTTTTTTAGTTGGTTATCAAGCACAGCTTTGCCAGAACACAGATTCCCCCTCACAACACCTCCAAGCCAAAGAATCTTGTTTACATTAGCTTGATCAACTTTTTTTCCATTGTCATAATACAACCTGATGAAGATAGGAGAGCCATCCATTAAGTTTAAAACTGGTTTATTGAGGTGTTTTATTTTCTAGGTGTTAGAATGTGGTGGGAATCTGTTTGATTGTGTGTCCTTAGCAGTAAAGGCAGCTCTTCATGATATCAGGTAAATTTTGATATAGAATTTTGTCAACAAACTTCATCATTTGTTTTTTATCATTGGTATTTCATCAGGACCTTTTCTATGATCATGTTACCTTGGTCATTGTGGCTTAGGTGTTACCATAGACTTGCTCACAATTGTGGATCCTACCACACTAGAACAGAAAACCAAGCGAATGACTTTGAGAAAGTCTAGTGTTACCATAGACTTGCTCACAAGTGCGGATCCTACCACACTAGAACAGAAAAACCAAGCAAACGACTTTGAGAAAGTCTAGTGTTACCATGGTCTTTACTTACCATTGTAACTATGTCTTCCCTTGGTTTGGTTATTAATAATTTTTATTTAACATCTGAAGTTTAACTCAATTTTTTCAGAATTCCAAATGTTACAGTATCTACAGAAGAAGGAGGTGTAGAACTAGAAATATCAGATGATCCACATGATTGTAGAAGACTGGATGTCAGTTCTGTTCCAGTAACAGTCACTATGAGTAAGGTATAGCAACCTCTTTAACATTGGTATGAACAAAATTACTTTTAACCTCTTTAACATTGGTGTGAAGAAACTTACTTTATTTTCCCACCAGCAAGTGTGTTGTCAACCTTGTAATCAACTGTCAAATCTAAAGCACTGTGCATGAAGAGAGGAATAATTTGTGAAAGCATGTTGAGATCAGATGATAAAAATTTTTAGCTCTATTTATTTATTCATTTTCCAAATTACAAGGTGAGAAATTTAACGTAATATTTTAATGAAAGGAACTATGTATAAAAATGTTGATGAATATTTAATAGTTGTGGTAGCAAAATGTAGCAGGGAAAGTACTTTTTATTGTTTAGACATAGTTGTTGTGACTCATTTGAGTCAGCTTACACAAATCTTAGATTTGGTGCAATTCTCTTTTTTGGAATTTTAGAACAAGGGCCAAGCTTATCTTGTTCATTTTCCATATGCCTTTGGGTTGGCTTTCTGGTGACTTCATTTTGATTCGAGAAAGTTAACGTTTCAGGTTGGTCATCGACATGTTGTGGATGCTAGTCTTCAAGAGGAAGCATGTTGTCTTGCTCAGTTGTTAGTGTCTGTCAATGGTGATAACAATATCTGTGCAATGCAGAAAGTTGGCCCAGGTGGTCTGGATCCTGACTCTATTTTTGAGATGATTGAGGTAGTGAAGATTCTTCTCTTTCATTGCTGCATTAGTTGTACCATTTATTCATTCAGAAACCCACACTCGTGCATATCAACTAATGTTCCTTCTCTTCCCCTTCCTGTGTGACGTTGAACTACATAATGCAGAATAGATATTAACATCCTTTCTATTAATGATTGCCAGGCTTGACACCAATGGTAGCCAACTAGCCACAGGCTTGTAGAAATTCAGTTGGTTTGAACTCATGGTTGAAGGTGAAGAATTAGAAGGCTAGGTGTCAATATAGGAAATGGAAGGGTTTAATGCTTGCACTCTTTTTTTTTACAAAAGTCAAAATTTTGGTTCACTCTTCTCCTGTTGGTTACAAAATTATCTAATCTTTACATACCAAAGGGCATTATTTAAATGCCTCTAATCCCCTCAGGATTAGCCCCAGTCCCTGCACGAATGAATTACCAAATGAGCAAATCATCAGTTTTGGCCAGTGGTTTTTGATTTCCACTCACCAGTTTGGCTAGTAAACAAATTGAAATTGTTGTAACATCTAAGTTGTCACTAGTCACTTGGCTAGTAAGCTGAAAAGTTAGTGTCAAGAAAATGATCAAAATCAATGTATGCAGTAAGGTTATCCAAGACAACCAAGTTTTGAAATGAGAGACATTACACTGGCATTGTGTTTGTTCACCCTATTCGTTACATTTGTGATTGCACAACAACAGGTGCAATGTATTTTTTTTCCAAATTGTAAATGTGATTACCTTTTTCAGTTCTTAAATTGTATTTAATGTTCCTTGGAGAACTATTAGAGAAGCCAATAAGGATCCATAAGAGTCAAGGCCAAGATTTGTGGGAAGTAGCAAAATGTTGTGAAAAACCGTAATTTTTATTTGTCTAAGAGTGTGATCAGTATCTTACCAGCGATAAGGGAATAATTAACATTCTCAAGTTTATTGTCTTCAGTGATTACTCTCATTCCTGTTCTGATAACACCTTTCTAGCCCATGATTAAGATAATAAATAGAGGATATTACATGGCCGCGCAGGGATTTGAATTTTATCTTCGAGTGCTGAAAGTATGATCTCTCACGAGTTCGCTGCGCTCACTTGTGAGAGATACTTTCAGCATGAGAAGATAAAATTCGTATCCCCAAGCTGCCATGTAATGTTCTGTTTATTATATAGATACTGATGAAATTTCAAATCAACCGACTGTGCGCCTGAGCAAGAAGCTCTATTGTAATTGGGTAATTATGTTGGTAACCATGGCCACACCAATATCCTCACACGTGAAACATAAGAATAGTATCTTCACCGCGCGTGGTGAAGATATGATTTTTTAGTAAAAGGAGAAATCCTGGTATTTCATCAGTATCTATATGATAAATACATACTATTAAGAGGAAAGTGGTTTTGGTTTTAAAACCACATTATTGTATCTGACATCTAATAACACTTTTCTCTCTTTTCAGACTGCATGCTATGTTGGAAAATCTTTAAACAAAGCACTTCTGAAAGTCCTTGAAAAGGAAGAAGTTGAAACCAGTAAAAATAAAGAGAAGGTTGGTTTCCTATTGTAGATGAACGGCCACCTTAAAAGTCAAAGAGAGCACTGTTTTCAGTTTAGCAGAGAAACCCACCCATGGAGATTGGTGCTCCTACTTTGTCTTATCACACCTTTGGCACGATACATTGTTGTGTAAGACAATAGAAATCAGAAAATATTCTGATTACAACTTGGAGCTGGATAGTGAAATTCATCAATCCCAGTGATGATGACAAAGAACTGAAATGCAGGAAAACACTGCCTCAGGGTAGCCTAACAGTCTATCCAATGATTTTCCTTTTCATATATAATATCTTTGCCAACTATTATTGACACTGATCTGTTCACATCTCGAGGAAGGCTATCAGGAGCCACCTATCTCAGGTTGGAACAAAAGATGAAGGAAAAGATTTGAGACTTCACATAAATAATTATTATCATTATCATAGTTATTCTTTCAAATGTTGGGCACCCTTTGCAACTCTGATGAGAAAAAACTCAAGAGGGCACTAGCCTTCAAAGCTGGAAAACATGAGTTAGCTTTTTGGGCAAACCTTAAAGAAATGAGTTGATGAAGGTGGGCGGACCACTGTTTGCACTGGTTTATATCTAGTGGCTTTGGAACTTGTGCCTCAGTGCCATTGAGACCTTTCTTACGGGCTAGGAAGGGGTGAAAATGCATTTTGAATGTATCAAGAATAAAATTGTTCTAGTTTAAAAAGTCTTCTGTACATTATTTTATAAATAGTATTCCTGTGCTTCTCTTCTACAATCATGGTAATCGAAGTTTCCCTTCTCTACTAAAGAGACAAATAGAAAATTTTCCTGAGCCGAGGTTTCTAACCCCTTCCAGAAGTAATTATTTGTTACAAGTAAGCTGTTAGGACAATCTGACAAAACATGAGAGATTGTGCTGGATTAATGTTCCATTTGAGGGGGAGGGGACAAAGAGGGGGAGTTTGCAAATTGTACTCCTAGTAGGGTGGGTACATTTCGCTGACCCCGAGTCCATGGACTACCCTCGATGGACTACCCACATGGACTACCTAAATGGACTACCCATATGGACTACCCTCGATGGACTACCCATATGGACTACCCTCGATGGACTACCCATATGGACTACCCTCGATGGACTACCCATATGGACTACCCTAAATTACCTACCTTCACGCAAACGCATCGAGCGAAAAGAAGGACGTCATTCTCTATTGTACCAGACGCGTTCAACCGGCGACAACCTGTTAATAATAAACCGATCTGTCACTTGATAACTAATAACTCCACCTCAATTTGTCGCCCGCTATATTCCCACGGCTGTTGTTAAATGCGAAAACAAAAATGCTTCGAGAATCTACCTGGACTGCTTGATCGCTCTTTACTTACACACGGTTGGTGTTGTTGTGTAGCTTTAGTTTAAGCTTCAAAGTGGTTCATAAATATGTTACATCTTTTTTTTTCTCCTCCTTGTCATCATGTATTGGTCTTATCCCGCCACCACTAGCTTCCCAGCTATTTGCGGGGCAAACCTTTTCAAATATGTATTTTGCAATATGAATAAAGTTGTACTCTAATCTTTTTATGAGAACATCTATAACTTCAAAACACTTCGCCCTGGAAGCTATCCTCACTAGAAAAATCACCTCTGAGTTAAATTTACAGAACGGAAGTCGGCTTTGCAAAGGGACAACAAAGTGCGAAAGAAAATTCTGCCTTCGTTACCCCGTACAACCCTTCTTTGCCAAATTTTAAAAACATCTTAATGAGCAAATGGCATAGAGAAATATACAACAAGCCCCCATAATTTCAGCAAATCTCTGGATTCTTTAGAAAACACTTGTTCCGCGTTAATCACCGGAGTGATTAACCCTCAAATTTGGAATGACATTCCTCTCTCACTTCGTAATTCATTTACTCTTTCTAGTTATAAACGTAAACTGAGAGATCATTTTCAATCATTACAAGTTTAAACTAAGTTGAACTCATGTTTAAATTTATTTTTACTATTATTACTTTCTGCACACTACCATTATTTATGTTTATTTTGCTTTATATGCAGTAATGTATTTTTGTGTTGTAATTGTTGGCCTTTCCTCCGTAAATCTTGTATTTACTGTTATATACATATTTTTTTTTCTTTATATATATATATTTTTTTCTATATATATATATATATTTTTTTTCTTTATATATATACATATACATATATGTATAACAATTATTCCACGAGCGCGCGTTGGATATGAGATGATAGATAGCCAACGAAGCGCGTAGCGCCGAGTTGGCTATAATCATCTCATATCCAACAAGCACGAGTGGAATAATTGTTTTATTTAAAAAAGCGCCCCGAAGATATTAGACAAATCTTCTCGACATTATTTTGTTAGAAGAAACCAGATGTTACAATGTACAGATATTAGATTATGGTAAATTGGCTCATATGCCATAAATAGCTAAGCCAATAAAAAGTCTTGAATTGCATTATCCAATGATCCAGTTTTTAATAATTCTTTTTATTTCATGATTGTAATTTAGTGGCACATTGTAACTATCTGACCGATGCCATATAAGCCTCCGGCTTTGGCATCTCATTATCGTTAACTTGTGCAATTATTATTAAAGATGATTAAAGATTAAAAAAAAGAAAAAATTACTTGAAATTTGTTGCAGCAATGTCTTTCGTCAACTCTGCATGGTTTCTTGTCTTGTTTTGTATTAGTCCATATGGGTAGTCCATCAAGGGTAGTCCATGGACTGGGGGTGAGCGAAATGTACTCACCCCTCCTAGTAACCTGACATTATGGAGTCAACAATCCTTAAATGTATGCAAATTAAGTAGGGTAGTTGGACATAACAAATTAGTGAAGCGAAGCTCATTTGCAAGAGCAGTTTGGATGAGTTTTACGAGGCAATAATTTACCGAACAAATAAGCACCCCTACCACCTCACCCACATACGAACAAACTAACCCGTCTTCACCCATATTCGTTCGGGCTGATGATAAAAAGACTGGGTACCACAAGAAACAAGATGGCGATTCGACGATAGAGCTGTGGGAGTTAAGTAGATTTTTTGTGATTTTACCATCATGACGATAGCCATTGGGTTCGAAGGGAGTGCAAATAAGCTAGGCATTGGTATTGTAAAAGATGGCGTTGTTCTTTCAAATGTACGAACAACTTACATCACTCCACCTGGACAAGGTAGGTGTTCAAGGAGCACGCGGTACAGTTTGTCTTGTCTTTTTTTCTTCCTTTAACTACACTTTATGTCTATTAGGGTTCTTACCAAGAGACACGGCGAAGCATCATCGAGAAAATATCATTGATATACTGAAAAGGTAGAGAGAATTGGTCACTGAAACATGCATTTGGTAGCTAAGAATTTGGTGGGTTCTGCACTAAGTTTGTATTTTTCATGTAGGTCTTTAAAAGAGGCCAACATTAAACCCCAGGAAATAGATTGTGTCTGTTACACTAAAGGTGAGCTCTCATGGACGTGTTGTGCTTAACATTCTTAAAGAAAATGTTTACACGGAGTAGAAGTAGAAGTCTTGGCCAAAGTTAATAACATAATAATTTGAATATATCAACAAAGTTGAAATGTTAAATTGGCCACCATGACGATTATAAAAGCTGACGTCTCGAGCGTTAGCCCTTCATCGGAGCAAATAGAGGAATTGTGGGTTGTGTGTGCTTTTAAAGGCAGAAAAAGGAGCTACGGGATGGGTGGGAACATGGCAACAAGAAAAACACGAATAAATTTTCTCGTTACCATGTTCCTACCAATCACTTAGCTCCTTTTTCTGCCTTTAAAAGCACACACAACCCACAATTCC